GACCTACCTAGGAGGAGTATTTTTATTTGAAATTTTGGGAGTACCTGAAAATACTAGATGATTATTTTCAAGATATATGGATAATGAGTTCTTGAACACTTGGATCTCACCATCTAAAATTGGACAGTCTCTATTAATGTTTTAAAAATAGTGATTTGGATAAGAGCTAGCCGAGTTATATTGAAAATCATCCAGTCTAATTCGGATCCTATTTAAAGAGAGGAAGGTCGATCTGAGTGGAGAGAGGATCACATACATATCCGTCCTATTTAGAGAGAGGAAGGTCGATCGGAGTGAAGAAAAGATTACGTACATATCTGTTATAGTTTTTGTTATTACCTATCTGTCCGTTTTTTTTCATGTCATAACGAAAATTTTAAAAAATATATAATTTTTAAAAAGATAATTTCAACAACAAAATTCAATGGATTTTACTATTGTTCAATAGCCGAAATCAAGCCAATTTCGGTTTTTGAAAAACCAAAAATTCAAAATTTTCTGTTGTTGAATAACGGAAATTTTTTTCATAGGTACTCCCCGTTTTTCGGTTGTTGAACAACCAAATTAAATGAATTTTCGGTTGTTCAATAACCTAAATCCTCTATACCCTTCTTCACCCACTCTTTACCCGTCTTTTCCCTTTAAACTCTATAGAGAAGACTTTAAACCCATCCAATCTAAAGTATAGAGTGAGAATGGATAAACATAGAAGAGAGTTTAAAGGGAAAGGAAGAGTTTAAACCCACCCAGGTGGGTTTAAATTCTTCCTTATCCTTTAAACTCTCAAGTCTCCTCTATATTTATCTATTATCTCTTTATATGGGTTTAACCTTTATCCGTTCTCTCTCTTATGTAGGTTTAAATGTTTATTCATTCTCTCTCCGATATTTATCCGTTTTTTCTCTATACTTTAGGTTTAAACTCTCTCTTATGTTTATTCATTCTCTCTACAATGACTGGATAAACATTGAAAAGAGTTTAAAGAGAAAAGACGAGTAAAGCTTCGGTTGTTAAACAACCGAAAATCCATTGAATTCGATTGTTGAAAAGGAAGTACCTATGCGAAAATTTTGGTTCTTAAAGAATTAAATTTTCGGTTCTTCAACCACCCGAAAGTTTGAATTTTCTGATGAAAAACCGGAATTGGCTTGATTTCAAAAGTGGCTTGATTTCGGTTCTTGAACAACCAAAAATCTATTGAATTTGGTTGTTCGACAACTGAAAAAAGATAAAATAATTTCGGTTCTTAAAGAATTAAATTTTCGGTTCTTCAACCACCAGAAAATTTTTGAATTTTCTGATGAAAAATCGGAATTGGCTTGATTTCGAAATTGGCTTGATTTCGGTTGTTGAACACCGAAAATCCATTGAATTTGGTTGTTCAACAACCAAAAAAAGATAAAATTATCTTCTTCTTTTTTAAAATTTGGTTATGACATGTAGTTTTGTAATAACGAAAACTATAACGGATAATTTTCCCTATTTTTTTTATGGGTGGGTTTGCTAGATGACCTGGGACCTCAATCATTCCCATTTTAGAGAGATGAGAAAGAGCTCTAAGCGTGATCTTGATGTACAAAGGGGGTTTCTTCACAGGAATCTCTTATTCCATCCATTTCTACTGGTCTCTCTCCATTTTGATCAATTCAAAACCACTCTCTCTAGCAGATTCAATCAATCTCAAACCCCAACTTCATGGTCTACGTGTGGTTGTTCAAGGAAAGATCATGTAAAACGTTTTATGTGAAGCACCCAAAACGCCTATTCAGTATCGTAAATACCAGAACTTAAACTTAACAGGAGCAGCTGTCTGGTATCGCGATACCGGACGGACAGAGTGTACCTTTAATTTTAGTCAAAAGCGAGCCCATTTCGTAATAACACCTCCAATAGTGTCCTTCATAAGTTCTCTTAGGGACTGTGTATATATATTTTAAAGCATGGATTCTTAGGATATTGTCAAAATCGATTGTTTGGATTTTTTAATGACTAGAAAACTTAAAATCAGGAAAATCAAAATCATGGAAATAAGACCTATTTTTCTATGATTTTATTTTCACACCAAAAACTTGTTTTTTTATATTTCCAAAGCCCATAGATTTCACTCATTGGACCCGAAACATAGGAGGCATTTGGTAGGTATGAATATTTTAGTGAGAGAAAGTATGTTGAAACTTTAGAGAGAGAAAGTATGTTAACTTTTTAGAGAGAAAAAGTACCAAATTTTTATAGAGATAGAACAATCTCAACATTTTAGAGAGAGAAAATTTTAATTGAGAGAGAAAGTATGTTAAAATTTTAGAGAGAGAAATTACCAAAATGTTTTAAAGAGATAAACTATCTTAAAATTTTAAAGAGGGAAACTATCTCAAATTTTAAGTTTTAGAGATAAAATACCATATTTTAGAGAGAGAAAGTACATTTCAATTTTTAGAGACAGAAACTAACTCAATTTTTTAGAGATACTATTTCACAAATTTTAGAGAGAGGAACAATTTTATATTTTAATTTTTAGAGAGAGAA